CACCCACCAGCCGCAGCAGCAGCAGCAGCAGCAACAATTAGTCGGAACCGTCAGAGCTTATGCAACGCTCATGTTGCCCAAATGGACAACAATACTTAAGCCCCAAAACAGATAAGCAGATACTATAGCCGACTAGCACATACTCTGTCCTCTTTGAGATCATAATGAAATACTCGTCTGAAAATAAGTGAAAATTCTTTGCCAGCAATTCAAGTTTCAGAAATTGTCTTTTTTTTATAAAATAAAACTATGATTCTAATTAGTAGTATTATTATGTATATAATTATTATTATATAAATGTATAGACAATTATCGTTATCTTTTAAAATGAATCTTAATGATTTATATAACATTTTTGTAAAAATGTCTCAATTTCTAAATACAACAAATAATTGAAAATAAAAGAAAGGATTTTAAATTTTACAATTTGTGGACAATTCGATACTAAACGATTGTCGGGGAATGTGGGTATTCTGATCTAAATCAATTATATATTCTATATTTTGAACTAAACTCCTTAACTTTGGTTGACTCCATCAATAGGAGTTTCTTTCCGAAACAAAGGAAAATATGCTTAGTTTACCTATTGGAATCAAGAATACAATTTTGATATGTGTTGCTCTTCTAGTTATTAGTTAGGCAGAGCACTGTGAAGGGAGAAAAGAGATCGGAGATCGGAGATGCCTCTATCAAAGCGTATTACATACACCCATTTTACACAACATCCCATATTATTTAATGGATAATGGGGGTGATTGGGTGGTGGGGACATACACATTAAAATCGCGAGCAAATTGGGCGCTTGCGCCAGGCGTGCGATTAAAAGCGACTCATATATGGCAATGGGACAATAGCAATAGCAATAGCAACAGCAACAGCAACAATCACAGCAGCAATAACAACAATAACAGCAGCAGCAGTAACAAACACAGCAGCAACACTCCAGCAGCAGCAATAATTGCAATAATAATAGGAATAGTGGCGAAGGGGGAGTAGAGGGAGGTGGTTGGGCTGGTGGTTGGTATCTGCTATTTGTTGGAAATGGATTTGCGTGCAATGCGGAGCGATGGGAGAGAAACAAGCCAAGAAATAAACGTCTTCATCGCTCTGTGCGAAGATTGCTGTGCTTGTCTGATTAATGCCACATTGAAGTCGCTTGCATCAGTCAATGGCCACACTCGGGTGACGGGTCAAAGGGGTCGGGGAGGCGGAGGCGGAGGGGGGGGGGGGGTAAAAATTGTTTATGCCATAGTAAAAGTGCGCTTAAATCAATTAATCAAAATAATTGTGCACCTTTGGCACGAAATGTTTGATTCTTTTCTCGCTGTGCACAAATTGCCAAGCTGAAAACTTTTTGCGAGTGTATCTTGCAGCAAAAGTTGCTTGCAGCTGCTGTTGTTGTTAATGATGCTGGCTGCTGTGATGCGATGCTATTGAACTTTTGCTATTTGCCAAGATTCCCACACACCTGCAGCAGCAGCAGCAGCAGCTGCCTCCCACTTGCAGTATGCAGCATCCAGCATGCAGCATGCAGCATGCCGCACAAGCAGCGTGTGAAACGATCGACGCGTCGATGCTTTTATTTATTTATTTTTGAGGCGTGACACGAAACTTTTGTTTCAAGTACGTTTGTTGTAGTTGCTGTTGTTGTTGTTGCTGCTGCTGTTGTTGTTGCTGCTGCTGTTGTTGCGCCCTAATGCGATTGTGCGGGTAAATGACCGACGAGTGGTGGCAAAAATTGAATTGAATTGTTTTGCATAAATTGGTGGTTCGCAGCTGCTGCTGCCACTGCTCTTGCTGCTGCTGTTGTTGTTGTTGTTGTTATTATTATTATTATTTTAATTGAAGTGCGGCAAGTTTGCTGCCTGAGTCTTTCGTTTGCCCACGCGTTTTTATTTTCTGTGGGCAACACACACACACAGCAGTCGCAGGATTGACGGCGTATTGCGTTGCAAACAGCTGGCGGCGTGCAGCTGCCAGGCAATGTAATACAAAATCTCGATGTCTGCCCCACAAAACTGGATTGGGGATTGGGGCGTGGCATTTCTTACGCCTCTGGTAACTCAGCTGCACAGTGAAGACAAAAAATAATACAAAAGAAGGCGAAGGCAAATATTCTCTAGCGAAAGTTGCCAGCAATCTCAGACAACCCCACTCCAACTCCTCCCTTTCTCCCCCACCTCTATCTTTCTCTCTCCCTCTCTCTCTCTCTTTGGGCCTGTTCCTCCGCTGCTGCAATTGTCAAATTGCAGTGGCAAAAATGCCCGCATTTAATATGAAAAGTCGAAACTGGTTAGAACAAGATACGCTGCTACATTTGTGTACAGCTGAGACTAAGTGGAGCCTGTACACTGGACGAAATAGTTGTTTAATTAGACCCAGAAGGAGAGAGAGACTTTTAAACTGTATATGTATATTCTTGATCAGCATCATCCCAGCCCAGTCGATATAGACATGTTCGTCGGTTTGCGAATTGGCATGGATTCGTCTTGTTGCTGTTGGCATATAGTTGTCATAGAATCCAATAGAGACCAAGATACGAAGGTATCCCGTCTAAACTCATTTCTTACAAGTTCATAAGATGTAGGCCTAAAAGCAACATCAAAGTCGGACTACTACAACATATAACTTTAATATTGACGTTCTACAAGAGTATGCAATATTCGTTGTGGCTCAGATAACTGTTGCTGGTAGTTTTCTTTATTTTTTGATGGTGCTTGGTATTAGATAACTTTAACTACATTTCCCGCAGATCTTCTTTTTATGCAGTGGCATGACACTTCATTATGAGTTATGTATGTGTGTGTGTGTGAATGTATGCGCATGTGTATGTGTATGTGTATATGTATATATGTGTGTGTGTGGCTTCATTTCGCGTGTTTTTATACCTTCCCTTTGCTTTTTGTTGCATGCATTATAATATTTACATGCACTTTGCGCATATCTTACGAACACCCTTGCTCCAAGGCATTAACAACAAAAACAACAACAAAAACAGCAACAACAACAACAGCAAAAACAATTGAAATTGTTTAGTTAGTCGGCTGCTTTTGTTGTAGTGTTTGTTGTAAAACTGGCTCGCTTTGCATTGCTTTGGTTTGCTTTGGTCGGCTGCTTATCCTACAAATGCCAATTCGCCAGTCCGCCAACCAACTAACCAACCAGTCCGCAACTTAATCTGTCCGTCTGTCGGACTGTTAACAAAAATGCCGTCTAAAGCGGCCAACTGGCTGGGCAATTGGCACAGAGAGAGAAAAGTTCAAGTCAAATTCCCCACAATTCCCATTTGTAAAGTTTGGCAAGATTAAAATATCTAAAGACAAAAACTATTATTTTATGTACGATTTGATTAGTCTGAAATTTGAATTAGTTTTACTAATTTAGTATTGCCAAGCAATCAAAAACGCACTTTAAATATGATATTTCAGCTTGCTTAATGTATTCTTTCAACTTGAATTAAGATCATTTGAAAAACAAAAAGTTTCGAATTTTCCCAAATTGATTTTTTAGACTTGTGACTTTGACTTGTATTGTGGATTTTTAATGTTTAATCTTGGTTAGGCTTATGTTGAGTAAATCGTTCTTGATTTAAATATCACAATTGTTCTCTGTGTAAAGCAACCAGGATTGGGGGACTGGGCGACTGGGCCGCTGGGCGTTCAACTGGTTGCAGTTTTGTTGCTGCTTGTTTTTGTCAGTTTGCCGGCAGTTTTGAATTACAAAAGGAGCCTTTTGTGGGGCCGCCTGCAACAACAGCAAATAACAACAACAAAAACAGCAGCATTTTTATAATTTCAATTTTGTGTATCTGCGAGATACGCTTGCAAACACGAATTGGCATTTCGTATTATGCATTCTGATGTTATATTTATAATGCTTGAGACTTGCAGTATTTTTTTGTGAAAATAGTCAACGCATAATCACGAATAAAAGTTAATGAAGATATAATATAAGCTTAATTTCTTAACTTTTGTTTCTTTTTTTTTTTTTTTTTGATAAGCATTTCGAACTGAAATTTGCTGGTGTTATTGCAAAATGTATCTGCAGGCTATGGAAGATAAATACGCGATGGGTAATCAATCAATAATGCGGACAGCACACAAGGTATCCGCTAGTCGGTTAGTTGGCTACTTGGCGTATTTTGCATTTGTTGCATTTTGCAATACGGTTTTGCCACAATTTGCAAGTATGCAGTGTGACCAGCTTGAATAACGCCTGATAATTAAAACACAATTAACGTCAGCGTAATGATGATGATAACAAACTGATGAGATGATGATGATGACGATGACGACTGGCCAGGAAATGCAATTATTCGATTGGCCCACAACAGCCACAACAATATCAACAACAACAACAACAACAACAACAACAACAGGTGGCCAAAACGACGCCATTCGAAAGTCTTTTGCTGTTGCACAAATTTCGTATTTTGGCTAACATTGATTGAAAAAATGGCCAAAATTGCATAAGCGAAAAGCGGCCGCAAGGCACCAATCGGTCAATACAGCAATACATCAATCGGGGCAAAGGCAATCATAATCATAATCAATTTTGTGTGGCTGAATAGAACTTTCTAGTTGCATTGAGCGCTACAGAAAACGTAGTTAGTAAATCTGGAGCAAATAAATAAATTATTTATGATGACGGCTACAACATTTTTGTGTTAAGCCACATATAATTGAAGGCCGCACGCAATTAACGCACTTTTGTGTGTGTTGCCTAAAAGTACAAAATCAAAATAACATAAGACGACAACAGAAGCATAGAAAAATACAATACAGAAAATGACACAAAAAAAAAAACGATGTCATTCCGTTAGGCGGCTTAACAATCTGGCAACTTCAGACTTAAGCAGAAATAAACAAGCAACAACAACAAAAAGAAAATGGGCTTCAAATTACAAGTGTTGTAAAATTGCGATGGGCGTTGGAGTTGAGTATTTAATGCAGGCTGTGAAGTGTGTGTGTGTGTGGTTGTTAGTGTGTCTGTTTACTTACCTCATTTGTGTTGGTTGCTTAGCAGAAGAAGACAAACACACCCAACAACAACAATAACAACAACAATAGCTCTTCTGCAATTGGAGCGCAAAAATTCTCGAGTTGCAAATTTCTTGTTGTCGTTGTTGTTTTTGTTGCTTTCCGCCTCTTTGTTTTGTTTTCGTTTTTGTATTGGTTGTTTTTCAAAAGCTTTGCTGGCGAGTGCACTTTACACTTTTGTGGCTTGGCTCTTCAGGCTTCACTGACTACTGGGAGACAGGTGCATATTTTATATTATTATTACTCCGTATGCGGCATGGCAACAATATTCACAATTCATAAATATTTTATATTTTTCACACATACACAAAAATACAGACAGCAGAATAAGCAAAAAAAAATTGAACAAAAAGTGCGCTTGAATTTTGCAAAATAAAAGTCTTGTTTTTTGGCGATCGTTTGATATTTAAACAGCCGGCGCGCATAACAAACAAAAAAAAACAGAAAACAACTGAGGCAATGAGCGACGGTAAAGGACGATGCACAACTTTATCGCTTGAATGTCAGCAACAAATTGAACGGCTGACTAACCGGTGTGACCGTAGTTGGCCAGTTGCAGAATACCAGCTTTACTGCTTCGCATATAATATCGAATACGATGTTATCGAACTATCATATTCGTTTTTGTTTATGAGCAAACTGATGTACTTTTGAATTCATCAGAATTGTAACTGTCGTTGGTCGCCTTCCTCATTTGGTGCCTAATTAATGTCAAACATGTAATATGTCTTATCTTTTATGGGCCTTGTGGCGAATTACCTATTATTACATGTACTTTGTCACTTAACATCTAAAAAATTGAAGGCATATTTCAAAATAACGGTAAGCTTTTGTCTATTTTGATGTAAATGGGCAACAGAGAGTTGCTATGTTAACGCGATCTGCTCAATCTGGTGCACTTAGCGATATATATCGATAAATTGTGTGAAATAACAGCGACTTGTATTGCATTGAGACAACAGCTGTTCGCTGCTGTTACCGCCGTTGACTGCGACCGATTTATTATTATTTCATAATAATTTCTGTAGTACATTTGTGATTTGGTAAATTACATTGTAAGCTGAATTAAATAACAATGCAAAGTACACGTAAATTATTGAATCTGGCCCGGATTACGCTTAGCCGCACGGCGGCAACTGCATCAGAACAGACTACACATTTCGGCTACCAAACGGTAAAGGAATCCGAAAAGGAGCAAAAAGGTGAGCGATATAAACAAAATAATAATGATTAAAACCGAAACTGAAACCATCATATTTGCTGGCAATCCAGTGCATCAGGTGTTTGAGCAGGTGGCCCAGTCCTACGATACAATGAACGATGCAATGTCGCTGGGCATCCATCGTGTGTGGAAGGACATCTTCATTGAGCGACTTGGTCCGACGCATGGCATGCGTCTCTTAGACATGGCTGGCGGCACGGGTGATATTAGTTTTCGATATCTGAAGTACCTCGAGAAACAGCCCAATCACCAGGGGCGGAAAAGTCACGTCACCATCTCCGACATCAATCAGCATATGCTGAACGTGGGCGAGGAGCGAGCACGCCAGCAAGGATTGACTGCTGAGCGGTTGTCCAATTCCAGCATCGATTGGCAGTGTGCCGATGCCGAGAAGCTGCCCTTCCAAAGCGATAGCTTCACAGCCTACACAATTGCCTTTGGCATACGCAATTGCACCCACGTAGATAAGGTAGGTTAATAGAGATAAAGCCAAAGATTAAAAACGTTAAGTAAAAGCTTGTATCTATATACTAATAAATAAATTTGTAGGTGCTTAGCGAGGCATATCGGGTGCTGCAGCCAGGTGGTCGCTTCATGTGCTTGGAGTTCAGTCATCTGACAAATGAGACGATGCAGTGGCTGTACGATCAGTACTCATTTCAGGTGATACCACCGATGGGTCAACTGCTGGCTGGACAATGGCAGGCATATCAGTACCTTGTGGAGAGCATACGACGATTTCCGCGCCAGGATCAGTTCAAGAGCATGATCGAGAACGCGGGCTTTGTTCATGCGACCTATGAGAATCTAACGTTTGGCGTAGTCAGCATACACTCTGGCTTTAAGCTGTAGTTGTACTGAACCACACTGAATTCCTATTAGAGTTTAATATTATTATTATTATTATTATTTACTACGCTGCGAGTCCAGCTGTCATCTTGTTAAACATGCTAAACACGTTTTGTAACTGGTTTTTTTGTTCACCCTTTTTTTTTATTGTTTCCTTGCTTGTTAAAATTAAAGTTTTTTGGATAAACATGGTCAACATATTACATGTGCCAAGCAATTTATGGGTTTATAAGTTTTTGGCAAGCTTGGGAAAGACCTTGACGGAACGTATTTATATATATATGTGTATTTATTTTTGGGGGCTTACATTTTAAGAAATTATATTTACAGATTTCCAAAAGTTCCCAAAGTGAAAATGTGGGCTAATTGAAAATTCATTTGTGATATAATGCGAATTACTCATTCCCCTTGAACCACACCCTCGCAAGAGTTTGTTCGCCCTCCTCTCCTCTCCCCTTCCCTTCCCTTCCTTCCTCACCGCTGTAAATCATCAAATTTAGTGCAAGTGAAATTTATGCGTGTGAATGTTGAATTTTAATCTAAGGCAAACGAAACGAAATAAAATCAAAATCAAATCGCTTGAAAAAATGCCATAAAAATCAATTGGAGTTCCATACACATAATCACACACACACAAACACATACACACTAAACCTAATTGCTAGTTTATCGAAGTATTTTAAGTAATTTGTTTTTTTGTCCCCCCTGCTGCACTTTGTTAGTTTTAATTGTTGGCCCAGTTTTTGGTGGCCAACAATTTTGATGGGTATGCATTTTGGTGATGTAACCGAGTCATAAAAGGCTATACATGAACATAAACTATCAAGAGTTACCTTTTTGGGCACCACTACCCCGCACCCCGCTCACCAATCACCACTCCTCACCCCCTCTTTTATTTATTGTCTAGCGCCTAAAAGTGAAATGTGCCATTACAAGAATAACAACACCAACAAATGCGGAACATGCAAAATGAAAACAAAAGTTTTTTTCTTTCAATTTTTGTTCGCAGTACGTGAAGAAACGTGCGATGCATGCATACCTGTACAGGTAGACACACAGACCGACAGACAGACAGGCAAGCAACAGTGGGATACAACCACAGTCAGATAGCCCATCTTTCCTGTACTCCACTGTCAGGTGCACAATGCTTATGATTTGTCCAATATTCCTAAAGGTGATATCAAAAGATACCGGAGAGGGAAAGAGTTACAGAGAGAGAGAGAGAGAGAGAGAGAGAAAATATATAAATCAATTGAAACGGAAATAGAATTTAAAGCTGTGTTGCTTTAGTTAAATAACACGATTCTCGCATATATATATTTTACTTGTAAGCAGAATAATTATAAACATTTTTCTAATTTTTCAATAATAATGATAAAATAACAAGATTAAACAAATGTTCTTTAGCTGATTTCTTTAATTAGATTGTTCTCTAATATGTCCTCTTCAAATGCTGGCTGATGCATTTCGACCCACTGTGCATTAGATAGGGTGGGGGCAGGTATGGTGGCACGGGGCGGGGAGAGGGGAGGGGTTGATAATGCTGCTTGACGTTAGCATAATCCATCGTTGGGTCAGGTGAAATGGCCGCGTAAAAGTCATAAACTGCCCAATTGCCGCTGGTCATGTCGATGAGAGTGGTGTGTGTGTGTGTGTATGCGTAAGAGTGTGGTGCGTGCTGTATAGTGCACCAATTGGTATGCAGTGGCAGTCATCGGCAGCGGAGCACCGTTGATATCCGCTTTATAAATACAAGAAACACCAAGGAAGTTCATTTCATTTTCTTGGCAACAATCGCCGCGTTGACATAATCCACCAACAGCTACAACGAAATCGAAAGTAAATCGAAGCTAAAAAGCAGAAGAAACTAATACGGATTACTAAATAGAAGCACTACCAATCATGATGGGTTGCAGTTATGGTATTATGGCCAGGATGCTGCTGCTGTTCGCATTATTGGGTTGCCACGGCAACTATGCTCAGGCCGCTCTCCGTTTGCGTCATTCGAGTCGTCTGCTGAGCACTACGCCCAGCACAGTGGCCACAACCAGCAGCGGCAGCAGTGAAACCACTATCATCACGGAGCAGCAGCAGCAACCGCTGCCAGAAACGGAGACATCTGCTGTCGATCAGATTGGCATCAAGGAGAAGGAGCAGACGGGCAAGCACAAGCGTGGAATACTTCATGGTGGCGGTGCACTTGGACCGCATTGGCCCGCCCGCACCTATGCCGCCCAGTATGGCTATAGTTTGCAGCTACCCGCTGGTGCGAGCTTCTTTGCAGCTGCCCCACCTCACGCTCATCATCGTCATCACGGTTTTGTCAAGTATCCGGCCGGGTTGGCGGGCTATCACATCAAACCGTATGCACCTGCTGCAGCAGCGGGCTTTTTGCCCACAGCTACTGCACTGTCACCAGCAGTGTCTGGTGTGCTACCAGGTGTAACTGGTGCACTACCAGCTGTGACTGGTGCACTACCAGCACTACCGGCTCTGCAGGGTCTGCCTGCGGTGGGCGGCATTGCAGCGGCAGTCACTGGAACACCTTCGTATGTGCTGCGTCCCGGCAATGCTCTCGTCTCCACCTACAGTGTCAACTATCCGCATCAGCATCTGCATCGACCTGTGAGGCCCCTACACTTCCATCAAGCGGTTCAGGTAAATTACCAATAATTTTATTAGCTGCTGCTGCTTTTTCTAATCCCCAAAATGTATCGCTTGCAGCCCACTTATGTCCAGGCCATCGCACCTGGTCCACCAGCGGTACCCGTCCAGCCAGTGCATCCCGTACAACCGGTACAGCCTTTGCCTGCTTTGCAGCCGAGTATTAGTTTTGCCGCTGCCAGTCCGCCGGTCGCCGAGTTTCCCGTTTTCCAGCCATTTCCGACACCTCCATTTGCTGGGCAGCCCACGCCAGATGTGCCTGTAATACCACAAGTGCCACAGGTGCCACAAGTGCCGCAAGTGCCACAGATACCAGATATTCAGCAGATTCCTCAGATTCCACAGATTCCGCAGATACCGCAAATTCCACAGTTTCCGCAGTTTAGTATTCCACAGTTCCCGTTTATACAGGTGTCACAGTTTCCACAGTTGCCACAGGTGCCCAGCATTCCTAGCACTCCCGCCGTTCCAGTTCTCCCCGCCGTTCCACCTGTGCCCACTATTCCCGCTGTACCCGCTGTTCCAGTTGTGCCCGCTACTCCTGCTGTTCCAGTTATTCCTACGGTTCCTGCTGTGGCGGCTAGTCCCGCTTTTCCCGATATTCCCGCTTTTCCCGCTAGTCCCGCTTTTCCAGCAAATCCTGCTTTCCCCGCACGTCCCACTTTCCCCGCCCGTCCCGCCTTCCCAATCAATCCCGCTTTTCCCGCTGCACCGCCCAACACTCAATTCTTCCCGGCCGCCGTCCAGCCACCGCTGCCCCAGCAGCCGCCCACTTTTGTGCAGCCTGAAGCGCAATTTCCGGGCGGCATTGTGCCACTACCCGGATCGCAACCCGTCCGGCCAGAGACGGGCACAGCGATCGCCTCACCACAGATACCCAACACGCCACGGCCGGAATCGGAGCAGCCCGAGCAGCCCGCTCTCCCCGCACCGCAACCCGCACAACCCGGACAATCGCAACAGCCCTGGAAGCCGATCTTCTATCAGCCACCAGCAACACACAGTCGCCCATCCGTAACCCTTTTGCCACCCTACGGAAGTGCACCAGCTGAGGGTAAATGCTAAATTTAGCTGTACCATCTTGACTTTATTCTATGACCATCTTTCTTTCTCTGCTCTCCTTAGGCTATCTACCACCAGCTGGTACCCAAGTGGCACAGCTGACTGCCGCCGGAAACAGTTTTCAGGGCATCTTCGATCAGCTGAGCGATGCCGAAATCGAGCACATTTTCGCCCAAGCCAATCTCGCACAAAAGCAACAACAACAGCAGCAACAGCAACAACAACAGCAGCAACAACAACAACAACAACAGCAACAACAACAGCATCATGGCTATCAGCTCTACTGATTCTAAAGTGATCCACGGTCTCCATCTTGTCCATATTATCAACATTCCTTTTTTTTGTTTTTTTTTTTACTGTATCGCATTCATCTAATTTTATGATATTCTTTCCATGTATAATAAATGATTATTTTTTAAGTTATTTATCAAACAATATAACAGAGTTTTTCTTAATCAGATTGAACTTAGAAGTTGGAATAGAAAAATGTATTCTATTTTGATATAAGAGAACACTAGGTACAAAATATATAGAGGGGAGTAACAACAGATACATCAAATATGTAGAACATATATATTTGTTCTTGATTTATATATATATCACAAAAAATAAACGACTTGTTTGAGAAAATTTGTAAAAAAAAATATTAACTTTACAATGAAGCATTATTATAATTTGATTGATAATAAACAATTATTAATTCTCACATTGACAAGCTTCTCAAATGTGGGGAAAGTGAAACCGTTAAAATGCGTTGCATAAAATAGCAAAATGAGCTTTTAGTCGTTTTAGCTTTTTACCTTGAACTTGGCGCAGCTTTATTCATTCATAAATTCTGCCAGCTGTTCATTCATGGAATGTTGTTGGCTACGTTTCGCCATCGGCAATTGGGAATCGGGCGTCGCGCATTGGGAATCATCGGGTGCCGGCATCGACATCGTCTTTACCCACATGCCACATGTTGCAAGCGCTCGCTTGATTCAGTTGCGACCGTTAGCTTCGCAAGCGCGCTGCCAACGTCTGCGCGCAAAAACACAAAAATCTTACGAAAATTCGACACACTACGAATTTATTTTGTTTATTTTTTTTTGCGGAAATTAAAAATAATATAAGTAAAAAAGGAAATTATTATTATATAAATCGAAAATCAACTCGTGCTGATCTCAGTTTTAAGTCCTATCCAGAAGGTGCAAGTGTTGTTGTTCACAGAGATCGTCTTGATGTTTTCATTATTTTTTGTCGCTGTGCGGTGTTCGAAAATTGTTTTAGATCTGCATTGATTGTTTATTGCATTTGAGTAGCAAGAGGAAAAGCTAAACAAACAAACAACAATAAAAAAAAAAGACAAAAACAATCAGTTTCAGTTTCCACATCTGTCGTGACAATAAATATAACAATGCGTAAGTCTTGCACAAATAAACAATTTTAATTCGATTTCGATTTTGATGTTGACGTCGATTTCGGCCCACCTTCAGTTGGATCTGTGCATAGACACAATTAATTTATATAGTCGTTATTTTGGCAGCATTCTATGTTCAATAACTGCATTAAAAACAAAACCGCAACCCACACAGACATTTTTGGCATGTGTCTCTATAATCTGGAAACCTACGATGCCTCACCTTTTTGAATATAATATTTGCGAATACTGTTTAGAATATTGAGATTTGGTAACAGAGCTGAAAATTGAGTTGAGAATAGAATTATGGACTAAGCTGCCGACTTAGGAACAGAATAGATTTTCAAATCGAGCTGTCAACAGAGCTGATAAAATTGTAGGGAATTACAGTAGAAGTGCGATCGAATTGAAAATACTTTGCCATAAGAAAAGTTACTTGCAGTTCTTTAATCTAAAACTCTTAAAATAAAATTGGAACATTTCCAAATTTAAATGAAATTCACCTTTGGAAATTGACCCAATTTTATTTATATGAAGACTATTTTTACGATTGATTTCTCAAAAGATGCTGAAATGGCATTTTATATAAATAGAAGTTTATAAAATGTCAAAGAAAGCTGAAAACAAATTTAGCTCATTGATGGATGGGCCTAACAAGCCTTCCATTGAGCAATTTATCAGTATTCAGCGAGAATTAAAATTGCAAATTTTATTAAATTGATTAACTTGATGGGTAAATGGATGTCGCTATAGAGCGAAGACATCTTAAACGGCGTTAATTTTATGAGCGCTGTTGAAATTCATAGAATCGCAGTAGACCCAATAACTGATACCATTAAAGTCACAGCTCGAACACGAAAATCGTGCAATAAGCCAGCTGTGTTTATGCTTTCAATTTCTTTGCCATTGGTTTAAATGAAAATTGTAATTTGCATATTAAAATATGATATTAAACGGACGATGACCAGAAATATCACAATGACTGGGTTAAGTGGAAGGTGGTAGTGGGAGGGGAAGCGAGGGGGTTGACGGTGGAGAGTGGAGAGTGTAGCAATGTCGTTAATATCCGTTGTTTCAAGTTCCGATTTAGCGTAACCCCATTAAATTGTTGTAATAAAATGTCATTAAGCGTGAATGCGATGCGGTGGAGTCCCTTAAATTTATGGCGGGGCCAAATCAAAACGACGACGAGAAGAAACCGCGAATTGTGTGTGTGTGTGTGTGTGTGTGTGTGTGTGTGTGTGTGTGTGTGTGTGTGTGTGTGTGTGTGTGTGTGTGTGTGTGTGTATTCGAAGAGAAAAATTCAAGTATTTCGCAATATGGAGCATGATAGTCTACGAAGATTAAAATTATTAAACATATGAGGCGGCATTTTTAGGTATTTATATTTTCCCCCTCTCTGCGAGAGACACCTACTTTCAGTTAGTAGAAAACGATCTTCAAGCAAGTAGCAGCAAGTAGCAAGTAGATGAGATGTAAACATCAACTTTCGCTTATAAATGTATTTAAAAACAAGAAGATTGCACGCCCTTTTAGGGCGTAGTATTCTGCTGACATCTAAATTTTAGTGAAAAATGGGAAAACTTGTTATGTTTTTGTGTCACGACTGGTTGTGAATTGAATATTCCATAATTATGTATTTATACTGGCTCAGAAAGGGTAACATGCATGCCAATGCCTATCTCGATGCCACAGCTTAAAACTCATCTCTCGACTGATTGTTCCTATGATGGTTCAATATTTTAATATAACTTTAGCGATGTGTGTTGCATTTGCTGCGGTTGTGGTCTGTGGACAGTTCTACATTGATTCCCTCAACTAGCCATAGTTCAAGTCGCAATATCGAATGGCAAAAAAAAAAAACGGGTTGGGTTATTAGTTGTGGACCAGTTCGCAGCTTATGCAAATAGAAACCTAGTTTAGCGGTCAGAACGGCGGCTCATGAGCAGCACATGCGATGCCACTCAATTCCACACAGGGTTCCATTTAATACGGCTATCGTTTTGTGCAATGCAGTCTGAGGATTACATATAGATATGGACATAAGCAGCTGTTAGATGTTTGGGATTTATGAACTCCAATGGTGATCCCCAAAGGGCGACCAAATGAAAAAAAAAAACCATTCTGCGAAAGCCTAAATAAAGGTGAAAAGCAAAGGCCAAAAGAGAAGCTCCCAAAAGTGGTGTGGTCTCCTCTTGACATTTAAATTTGAATTTTAATTATGAAATGTATCTAAAGTAACTCCAAATTGGGTAACATCAAAGTTGCGGATGGGAATGAAGAGCCAGTTCAATGCAAATATTTGTTTATTACTTGTTAAGCCCAAAAAAAGGAAAAAGGTTATAGCCAAATCAAATGTATGCTTTAAAAGAAATCTAAAAACTTACAATTTTATTGGGTATGGTTTAGGTTAGTGCTTTAATAAGTGTAAATCCCTTTTGATATCTTGCTTAATACAAGTTGGAAAAACTCGTCACAATTATTTTTGGATTGAGTACAAAACTATTTTTCAAATAAAAAATGCCTTTGAACTCGACAACATTCTATGACATTTGTCAAAACTGAACTGAATTTAAGGCTGATTTGATTAACTCTGCATCTAATATTTATTATTATTGGGGATGTGCATGCACTGCCAACCAGTTAGATCTACTTTGCTCCTTTCTGAGCCTATAGCTCTTCCATTAACCCCAATTGCTGCACGAATGGTTTTCATGTCCTTGGAATTTAAAACATGTTTCCCTAGGATACCACATCTTTTCCTGGCTCCGGCGACACAATCCGATATAATATGTTTTGAGATGTTTTGAGCCTTCGTTCATAATCATAGTTCGCTACATAGTTTAGTTGGGTTACTTCTTTGTGTACAATGTTTTTGCAAGAGACCGGTTAGTATTCATTCTGTTCTTCTTTTACTTATATATTAATTAGAAATTACTCTTCCCCATCAGCGACAATTGCTTAAGAGATTTACAAAAAGCACGTTTAACGCATTACATAATCTCAAAAATTCGAGCAGGACATAAGCTGGTTCCCTTCTCTTGTCCCCCATCTCAGCTGTATTTATTTAGACACTTTGCTGATTCTCTATTCGCACAACTTACCAGCCACTTGAGCAGGAGCATTCCTTTTCGCTTGGGCCAGGAAAAAACAAATAAATGTTACTCAGGCGTTTACCCATAATAATAACAACGTTATTCATATACACACACACAGATGGTTCAGGTGCGGGTCACTTGGATTCAAGTTCAGTTCCTGCCGCATAGCCAAATGTTCCGATTTTCCATTTAAGCGCGTGTCGCCCGCAGCTGATATGATGACGTCGGATGGTAGGGTTGGGAATAGGAATGGGATTGGAGATGCGGATGCGGATGGAGAGGGAGAAGGAGAAATGCGTAAAAATGAGTTGGGTTAGTTGGGTGCGCATAAGTCCATTGGAGCAATCCAAAACATACTTGTTGTAATTTGAGTATGGCAATCATTATTTATTGCCGCACTTCTCACATTCTGCACCCAGATGATGTGCACCTAATGACGTACCCGCAACTATCCCCTCGAGTCCCCTCATCGCACATTTTTCGGGGGTTGTTTGCTAATCGATGGAAAAAACTAAACCCAATATCAAGTGACAAGTTTATAGAATGGGTCTAGCCCTAAAGCGAAGACCAATTCAAAATACGTGTGTTTTATATACTCTGCGACCGACAAAATGAACTGCAAGACTAAAAGAGTTTGATAAGTTAAATTTGCAATGCACACAGAGGAAGAAAGGCAAACTAGAGATTGGAATAAATTCTTGGTTGAAGTACAACAAATCTGGCAAAAATTTAATGGGTAATCTGTAATCATGACTTTTGTCTTCATATTGGAAATTTTCATTCCCTTTTAGTATAAAAAAATTTGGATTTATAATCAAATCTGCAATTGTAATTCGATGTTTCCTCTGCAGAATGCAATAAAAATCATATAATTTTATAAATTCAAATACAGGCAAACTTCTGTTTTTTTTTATTTTAATTTTCTTCGTTTGTTTTTTTTGGTTCTACAAAGACCCAATTGAATTGTCAGGCAGATATAATGACAGGCAAAAAGGTTACGCAACATTAGGCCACAACGATGAGTGTCGTCTGAAATGATAGTGAAATTTCGAATGTATTCGTTTTCGGGATTACCTCTCAATGGGAGGACACTTTGAGTGTGTAATTGAGCTAAGTGATGAGAAAAAGGGCATGTCAAGGCAGATGCCTCCACAACGAATCCCCATTGAGTGATTGTCTATCCAAAATTGACGCCAAATGTTTATGACCCTGTGACAGCCGGAAATTCAGCTTCGTAAGCACTTAAGACCAATGCAAGGAGCGGTTACCGTTACAGCCAATAACTATTGCCTCCAATACACTTCTTCAACGGGTCTCAACGGATTGTACGAAATCGATGTGATTATTGGGATCTGAAAACGAATAAAACTTATTACAACTTTGTGGCTAAGACCGTGTCCCTTAAGACGCATTCGCAACTAGTTTTGATTATTTAAATTGATGGTAGCAAATGTATTAGAACTTTTCCTATGGTAGCAAATTTATTAGAACTTTTCCTATGGCTGGAATTTAAACAGAATTCTGTAATATATTCGCTGTGGGCTTCAGTGATTCGTCAATAACAAATAAACTTTTGAAAAAAAGAAGCCAAAAGTAATTGAAAAAGTGTTTACGAATAAATTTATAATAGGCAATCGAATATGGATTAAATTTATTTCCCCAATTCAGAAATTATGTATATGTTCAATTGTTATTATGAAGGGTTAGACGGTTGTTAGCCAAGAATTGGCCAGTTGTGTTCCCAGTCGTGTTTTTTAATTATAAAAAAATGTGATTAAGCTACAGGGCTCCGTGTTAAAATAATGCTTGTTTCACACTTAAGATAGAGTGAGCGATACTGTTCTGCCATAAAAATTAATAATGTAGTATCGGTTATGTAGATCTTGGATTTGACCTTTCAGGG